AACACTGTTCAGCCAGTTTGTCCAGCTGCTTCTCCTGTTCTTTTCAGCTTCAGCTGTTACTGTTTTTGCCACTGGGCAAAAGTTCTGTGACTTCCATGTGGTAGGTTAGGTGCAGATTTTTTTGCTGTTCTCTGATGTATGTTGCATATGTGAAACAGGCTGTGGGAATTTGGGGCTAAAGGTAATGATCATTTCTGCCCTGCCCCTACACAAAGTCAAACTGCAGAAGGGTGTCTGAGAAGAATGAGTTCCTGAACTTAGGAAACATTTCTTGTGTGCTCTTTACTTCCTCCTGACTATAGCAGGGTTACATGGTGTGAAAGTTCAGGGTCAGTGTACTCAGGCCGTGCCAGGGAATTTGTTCTATCTGGCTTTTCTTGCTCTGAGCCCAAAATAAAAGTGGTGCAGAGTAGGTGGGAGCCTGCTAGGGTACCCTTCCTAGTATCCAGACCCACTTGGATGGATCAGTGCAGAAAGAGGAATGATGATTCCAGCTTTCTGCCAGTGAGAGTCCATCCTCAGCACGAGAGCTGCTGTCCCTTCTTACAGTGAGTGCTTTATGCTACACTGCACTGCTGGGAGGAATTGAGGGTCAGGGCACCTGAATTATGAAATGAAGCTGGACTTGGGGAGGGAGAGTTGAGTCAATAGGAAGTCTCAACTCTCCTCCCATGGTGTCCTTCACCTGGCTGACTCGGTTGAGGAAAAAAGGGCAAGAGCACAGCAAACAGTTCACTTGCTGGTGCTGGCATCACCTCTTAGGCTTATGGCATGAAATTGCTCCCAAATGCAAGACTTGTGGCTTGGGACACTTGGTAATTTTATCAGCTGATGTACAATTGGTGGAATAAGTAGAAAAATGCAGATAGCTGGTGAAAGAGGTTGCTTTGTGTCAAACTGTGTCAGGTTGGCAGGTGTGTTTTGCTAACTGTGCAGTGTTTTAGGGCCTCTTGTGCTTGCAGTGGTGTTGTTTTAGTCCTTCTCCTTTGATTGCTGTGGGACTCTTCACAAACTGAAGGAATATTTGACTTGCATAAAGCTAGGTTTTGCCATCCTTAATTGTTTTTAATATAGTCTGGCTCTTTCATAAACATTCTCACTGCAAGTTCATCGTCAAACTTGAAATCTAGTCCTGAATTCCAAATCTCTGCTGTGTGCTTGTGAATATTATGCCTTGCTCTGCTCTTAGAGCTTCATGGTGTCCCAAGGGAGAGCAGACACAAAAGCTTACTTCCTGCTTTAAATCATGCTGTCCCCTGCTGAGTCCTTCCACAGTCACTCACAAGCTAAATGGGAGTAGTTAACAGCTGAAATGTGTAGACAGAGAGTTTGTCCTTCAGAGGTTTTTTTTTCTGTGCAGCTCTGTATAACCAAGAGTTTCTACGTGGTCTCTTAATTTCAGATAAGGTGTTTAAAAATCCTTATAACAGCCAAACGTTTAAAACACTTTTAAAAGAGGAGTAATTCTGTATTTTAATGCTATTCTCTCTTTAAAATATTTACCAGTAGCAGATTTCATCCTGATGTTACTGTAAATAAATAGTCCACTATCTTCAGACTACATTTACTCTCTCCCCTTCCTTCAGGCTCCATAAACCACAAAATGTGTGCATTCAACTGCCTTGCATATATGAGCTACACACAGGCACATCTTCAAGTGGCTCTCTCTTTTAATTAAGTCTTCTTTCAATAATTTCTTAAAACTCCCTTGAGATTAAAAGTAAGAGGCTTTTTGATGGCTTGAATTGTAGCACTAATGCCTGTTACTGTCGATATGTAGATAACAGCTAATCTCAAAGAAAAATTTGGATTTTATTTTTAATTTTACTTAAACCACCAGGACTAACTTGAGCCAGTGGCTTTTCCCAAATTAATTCTTGCTTGAGCAGTGGAATTCATTCCTCCTTGGGTGAAAACATCTCTTTTAGAAAAGCATACCTGATACCTCAGGAAGGGAATGTTTCCCCAATCAGTTGAGACTTCTGTTATGCAGGTGGTCAGGTTAGAGGATCTGGTGTCTGTGAACAACTCCTCTGTTAGATAAAATTCTGTGTTTCCATTATGTTGTCCTTAATTATTTAATTGTTTACTGTGACTGGAAGTTTTATTGAGTTGAACAACTCACATAAATGAAAATATTACGGTGAAACAGAACCTTTGTCAAGCCACAATGCAGTAACAGTCACTGTGAAGTTAAGAGTACATCTTCAGTGTCTTTGGATTTTTCTCCTCTTGCTTATCCACAGGGCCAGAAGTTAAAACTTTTTTTTTTCTCTTGTATACAAATGTAACTTTTCCCATCTCTCACTGAGCTCGATAGTCCTTTTAAACGATTGTTTCTTGGGACAGGAGGTAATGAGCAACAATTCAATGAAAAAGAAATAACCTTTTGGCCTGTAAAGTAAAAGAAGGTCAGAAAATAACTGAAGTTGAATTCCTGGGGAAAAAAACATTAGCCAGAGGTGCACAATTAGATTAGAGAGTAATTAATTTTGAAAGCTGAGTAGTAGTACTATGCAGTCTTATTTAGCAAAGCACAGTGCACTA